CCTCGGGGCTGCCTCCACCCCGGCCAGGCGCTGTCTTCCCCTGCGGGCACCGGCTGCCAGCCCTGCCCCGTGTCCCCACTCCGCCTGCGGAATGTCACTGCTCGCTCTGATGTCACAGGGTGCCACGGGGCATTCCCTGGTGCAGCGTCCCCTGACCGAGAGCGCTGGCTCCGACACGGTCCCCAAGGCTTCCAAAGTGCAGAACGGCACAGGGACAAGACCCAAATCCAGCAGTTCCGGTGCTTCCCATGGTGGAGCTTGCTGGCCCCCATGCTGGGCATCCAGCAGGATCAGTGCAGCCATCCCCAGCGTGGGGCTTGATGCAGCCTCTGGGGACACAGGAACGACCCTCCCCTCCCAGCCAGGGTGTCCCAGCTCACCCGGAGCCCCCAGCACAGCTCGGGGCACTGAGGGCTCCCCAGGTGTCTCCGTTGAACGGGAAGCCCCACGGGTGTCCCCATTAGGGGCCATCTCTGCCCTGTTGGCAGCGCTGGGGCTGGCACCCCATGGCAGAGCAGCTCCCCACTCACCAGTCCAGACCAAAGCCCCTTCCAGGGCCTTCTTCTCTGCCGCCTTTTGCTGTCCCATCCCGCTGCTGCAAGGTGGCCCCTGGGTGTCCCTGCAGCCCCGCGCGCGGCGGCACCGGGCTGGGCTCTGCTCTGTCCCCGTCCTGCCGCCCGCTCGGATCATCTTCTCCAGCCCCATCCTTAGGACTGGCGTCTCCCTCCCCATCCCACCATCAGCACTTCCACGGCCGTCCCCCTTCTCCCTACACCGTGCCCGCTCCTCATGGTGGTGGCCCTGAGCACGGTGATGGTGCCAGCCCTTGTCCCCAGACCCCAGTGCGGGACCTGCAGCGAGAGGCACCCAGGGACATCCCCGGAGCTGCTGGGGACCGAGGGGCAGGGAAGGAGCCGCCCTGGTGCTGCAGGGTCGATGCCAGGCACTGGGAGCCTGCGGGACCTGCACGGCCTGCGTGGGGGGACAGTGACCACTCGTAGTGCTCTGAGGCTTTTTATTTGGTGCCCTGGGAAGCCTCTGGAGGTGGAACGAGTCAGCAGGGCAGGCTCTGGAGCTGCCACTGCAGGACCCCACGCCTCCTGCACCGTCCCTGTCCACGGCTGGTCCCCCTGCTGCTGCAGAAGGAGCAAGAGACCCCGAGAAAACAGGGGCTCCGTCCCGTGCTCTGGGCTGGGGTCAGGGATTTCTGGGCACGGTGGGGAGGCAGGCGGCTCCCGTGAGGTCTTGGTGAAGGCGAGAAAGCCCCTGGACTCCAGCCCCAGCAGAGCCAGGCTCTGAACAAGGGGGCACCAGGCCCCCCCTTTTTTATTTTCCTTTCATAAAAAAGAAGCTGTGGCTGCTCCAGGACCTGCCCCGTGTTCCATGGCGTGGGGACACAGCGCGGGAGGGCCTGGCCCTGGCTGCAGCTGGGACCAGCACAGCTGATGCTACATGGAGGTGGCTGCTGGGGCAAATGGAGCGACAGGGGGGGAGGAAGGTCACGGCCTTGTCCTGGACCAGAGCGGTGCCTGAAAGGGGTGCCTGCAAGACGTCCAGGGCTACCAGGTTACCCAGTGAGCAAGCTCAGCCTGTAAAGCATGGTGCAGAGGGTGGCAAGCGTGGCCACCATGGCCCAGAGCTCCTGCAGCCACCAGGACCAAGGCCGGTCCAGTG